GTACAAAAAGGTTCGCCATCCCTGGTATAATGTATTGTACTATTGTGTATTGGTCCTTTTATTAACATAATATTAATTTGACTAATTATAAGTTTAAAATACCTATTGAGTCTTGATCTTATTATGAATGCACTGTATGCAATAAACATAATATTAAATATTATAACCTTAGATTATAATATCTTTTCTGTACTTCTGTGTTTACCTAATAGTTGTATGATTAGGTACGTGTATCAAATCATACACTGAATGGGGAAAATGGTCAAATATGTGTCAAACGACTATACTTAAATACTTAATAGATAATTTCATACGATCATATTGTTAACATTAACTTTGGTCATACCTTAAGTGACAAGAGTTAAGCATAGAATTTTATACTAGGTATATACAAATCTGTGGATTAAGATGTCTATTGTCTATAAATCAGAATAATTTTAGATGGTAGAAATGTACCTATAAGTTTAAAGTAAGGCACTTATAAAGGACGGTAAATCTATAGTGCTCTAATATATTTAATATTAATTACTATTGTCTATTAGGTACATTCGTAAATCACAGATGTTTATAATACTACTATATAGAAAATAGAAACCTGTGAGTCTCAGAGTAATAATGGGAGTACATAACACCATTAACACCATTGTTCTATCTTCTGTGGTAATAACGCGGTATAATATCGAACATGGTATAATATGTAGGTTACGTTAATAACCACCAATAGAATATTCTAGTCATAACGATTGTTATCATTTGATACAGTAAAAAAATTAGTATTGGTAAATGGTAATCATTTAATATTTATGCAGCAGCTCGGCGTCTTGGACTTGTACGTTTTTATTTTTTGAATATAGATCATCTCTGAATAATAAAATAGACAGTTTTCTGTAGTATACAAGTTAATGTGAGTGACTGAGCCAGTAAGTGATGATTAAAATGTAATTTCTTCGAGTCATAATATGTAGAACTTCAGGAATTTTGTTATTATGTTAAGTTATATTTCAGGTAAATTTTTAATGTTATGGATAGTTTCCCACCAGCCAACTGCCGTTTGCAAATACTAATTGACGACCCTTGGCGTCAAGAAAACTTATCATTTGACGAAATAGTGGTTCCCATTAAAGAACTACCCGATCCTGAGGCGGACGCCACAGATGCTCATTTGACTCTTACCCAACAGGACACAAAGTGGACCGACTTGGCACTTACAAACATACTTAGTGACAATCCATTGCCTCCACCACCCCGATTTTGACACATTTATCATGGAGTTTCCAGATTTTGGTAAACAATGTGCTAACAAGGACTGTAAACAATTGGATTTTTTGCCAGTCAAATGCAATAATTGTCATGCTCTGTTTTGTAAAGACCATTCAAGATTTGATAATCATCAATGTGTTCCCATTGAATGTACTAATGATTTGGGACCAAAGCTGGTAAGAAATTCAGTATCCTACTGTATAATATTAGTTTTATAATAATTAATCATAATTCATAATGATACACTTAAAGGAACTTACACGTTTTAAGGGATTCCATTTAATTGAATTGTAATATTTTAGGAAACAACTTGGTTTAAATGCACATTCGATAGTTGTATGTCAAAAAATCCCTGTGAAATGCTTTGCCCAAAATGTGATAAACATTACTGTCTGGCACATAGACATCATGGTTGTCTAGATGAACTCCCCGGAAAAGAGGCTAGAAAAGTTTTAAGAGAAGCGGCTAAAAAATCTAAAGATCAATTTGCAATAGCTAAAGAAGAAGCTGATAAGAAAGTAGGTTAATTAACTTTTCTCTCAATACAATACTGATCACATTTATTTTAGATTGAAGCGAGTCTAAGGCAAGCCGAATTGCAACCAGAAAAGAGACGTATGGCCCAACAGATTCGTTTAATGAAACTTAAAGGGAAAGCATTGGGTGATAATAAAATACCAGTCATTGACAGAGTTTATTTTACTATTCATCCACCGATTAAAGATAATAAAGTTACATCAGCTGTGCCCTTATTTACCAGTAAAACTTGGACAGTTGGCAGAACTATTGATTTATTTGCAGTTCGTTTGAAAATTGAAAATCGAAATGATAAAAGTAATGCTCCTAAACTGCGTTTATTTAAATTAGAAGATGGTGAACACCTATCAAATCAAATGGATAGTGTAATTGGTCGTATGGTTACTGATGGATTAATATTTAATGGAGATTCATTAATTCTTCATTATGTTGATGCTACAAGAAATCCTGTTGAAATAGAACCAGAAAAATTAGTGGAATATAAACTATCAAGTGTTTAAATACCATTTTAATGACTATTTATATTATGGAAAACCATCATTATGTAATTAATATAGGATATTTTCAAAACAATTTGATGTTCTTTTTTTTTATTCTTTTGTTTCACATATACCAATATATTAATTTCAATTTGTCAGTCCATAACTAGTATAGGTTTAAATCATTTATAATTTTTGAAAAGATTAAAATATCCCTGATTTATCTAGGAAGTCGGGAGTATATTATAACACCAGGATTATTAATTTACGTAAGATTAAAATTGAAATCTATACAAATTGATAACATTTTTATGTTAGTGTATTTTGTTATTATGACAAGTGGGTATAAAATAATTTGTTCACCATGCACATAGTTCAACACATTTAATTTAAATATATATAAATATATATAAATAAATATTAGATTGGAATAGTTTAAAACTGAATCAGAATCAAACATTAAATTAGCAAATAAAAAAAATGTATACATTTTAATAATTCAATATTCACTTTAATTTAATTTAAGTTTTTTTTGGAAATACTTAAACTATCATTAAATATGGTAAATAATTTTGTATGTATATAGATTACTATATATACTTCAGTATACCACCTCTTTAAAAAAATATGATCTGAATTATTTACAAATGATGTAATAGTGTAATTTACCATAACCACTTATTATACAGCGGTGTAGCCAGGGGGGAGGCTGAGGGGGCTGCACCCCCCCCGAAATGTTAATAAAATGTAAAAATTATTTTAATGGTCTATGACAGCGGTTCTCAAACTGTGTTCCGCGGAGCCCAAGGGCTCCGCAAGAGTAATCTAGGGGCTCCGTGGCTCCCTTATGTTATCTGTATTAATTAAATTCAAATTATTAAATTATTATTTTATTTCTTAGTTACATTTTTAATTTTTATACTTGTATTCATTATTATTTGGACCATATCAATATGTATTATTTTAAAGTTTAAAACTGTAAACTATTTATAAATCCACACATTTTTTTATAATCAACATCATTTTCTATAAATTATTGTTGTCTCAAATAGAAATT